GAAATTTACACTACTTTTTTTTAGCTGTGTACTTTGCTATTGCGAGACTATTCACAACGTGTAAAGATCAAGCTGAAATGGTTCCGTTGCACATTCGTTTATTATCAAGGTGGGAACCAGTTCCAACCCAGTGCGAAACCGAACTTTTTGTCAGTGCGAACCTCAACCTGAGCTGGGTTTTAAAAACAAACGATCAAACTGACGTTTGTCAGAAAACAAGCAGACCCAATCTTGATACCCGATACAGGTTGGAACTGAATAATAAACGAATTAGCTATTAGAAAGATAAGGCACAGACAAACAGACATAACACTTGCTAGTTGTTCATCGAACAAGCATTTAACGGTCAATTTAAAAGTATCGTAGTTGGTAGTACCGCCACCTGTGGCGCGCATAGTCAATTCCCTTGCGTTTGACGTTTACACACTACCGCCATCTGTTCAGCGTACTACCTACAACAGTGTACTCAACAGATGGCGGTAATGTTTTAGCGACGATGTTTTACAGTGAGAAATATTCAATGTGTTATGTCTGTTTGTCTCTGGATAAGGTATAATAATGCTATCTCTTTTTTCATTTCACCGATGGCAGGCATGAAGCGACTGCTACCAGCCGTTAAGCTAGGTTTAGACAGAGCAAGTCAACTGATCAAGTCAGTTGAATTCAACTGACTTGAACGCGAATCGAACGTGTAAACCATGCCATTCAACTGACTTGATCAACTCACTTGAATTGAAAAAAGTTGAACCAGGCTCAACTTTTCAAGCCAATTGAATTCAGCTGAGTTGATCATTTGACTTGCCTAGTCTAAACCCAGCTTTAAGGAAGCCAAAATCATGAAACTCAATCTCACCACAGCTTGCTGAGATTTGCAGCTGGTGAGTTTTGTTAGCTTGATATTTCGAGCTGCGATATCAAAGCTTGCAATTAGGTGATCCAAGAGACGTTTATCAGTGAAACTGACAGCTAGAAATCTAGAGTGTGTGAGTGATCTGGTGTTAATGGTGCTGAATGCAAACATAAACAAAGCAGAAGTTCATATGAGAATAAACTGCAAGTTCTACTGTGATCTGTCAAAAGTTCTTGGTAAACAAAAAAGTCAGCTGATCGTAACTGTCTCGTGGACAGCCTTATATCAACCGCAGTTGTTTGCTTGTTGATTTTTTGTCTACGAAAACCCCGAAAAAAAGCTTGTTCTTTGGTAGAATTTGATTTTTTGGTTTCTTTCCAACACTACAAGTGGAGATTTCATTGGAAGGTTTTATTTTAGTACAAAGCTACGGCTACGGGTTCACCCAGGCGAACAAAATTACCCTTGCTCGAATTTATCAATTGTACGGCAATATGCACATCAGCTTGAAAGTATAGACCAGGAAGTTTCTTATTGCCTAAATGCTCATAGTTCATTCAAAGCAATAGCGCAGTTCCACGTCAACTGATCCTTTTTTTTCCACAAGTAATTTGTATTTAGTCGAAGATGCTTAACGTCAATATCAGACTTAAAGTGAAGATGATGAAACCACAGACAAACAGACGTAACACATTGAATATTACTCACTGTAAAACATCGTCGCTAAAACATCCGCCATCTGTTGATTACACTGTAGTGGGTAGTACGCTGAACAGATGGCGGTAGTGTGTAAACGTCAAACGCAAGGGAATTGACTATGCGCGCTACAGGTGGCGGTACTACAAACTACAATACTTTTAAATTGTCCGTTAAATGCTTGTTTGATGAACAACTTGCGAGTGTTATGTCTGTTTGTCTGTGGTTTTATTTTAGTACAAAGCTACGGCTACGGGTTCACCCAGGCGAACAAAATTACCCCTGCTCGAATTTATCAATTGTACCGCAATATGCACATCAGCTTGAAAGTGTAGACCAGGAAGTTTCTTATTGCCTAAATGCTCATAGTAGATATAGAGTACTATTCGCAGTCGCTACTATTTACCTATTTATTGCACATTCAAAGCAATAGCGCAGTTCCACGTCAACTGATCCTTTTTTCCACAAGAAATTTGTATTTAGTTGGAGATGCTTAACGTCAATATCAGACTTAAAATGAAGATGATGAAACCATGGAACTATAGAATTGATAGTACCATTCTAGAACGGCAGTGTGAAATTGTATATTGAAAATATCAAGCGAGCAAAGGAGAATTTTGAGGAACGTACGAATCCCTCGTCACCACTGGCAAAAGAAATGATCGTCGATTCGCTCATGCACCTCCGATGTGCGGAACGGTTCTATCCATTGTTACACACTTAAAACTGCAGCTATTGTTTTCCACTACCACTCTCTCGGTACCATTCGACCAATAACAGTATGATTGAAGGTAAGCTCCCATCTAGAGTTGTGTTCCTTAACTAATCATGTTTTGATTAATTCATGCGTGATATAAATATCAGAACGAAACTATCAATTACATACTAGCATCTCCTCATTCGTTCACTTTAAGTCGGATATTGACGTTAACCATCTCCAACTAAATACAAAATATTTGTGGAAAAAAAAGAAGTTTCAAATTTTTACTTAAAGTTTATATTCTACGATTTTGATTAATTTTAAATGTCCGTTGTGTCCATTTAATAATGGTTAACATTTTTGATAAGCTTTCTAATCATCAGTTTAAAATCTTAAAAATGACAGTTTCACGTCAAATGACGAATCGGAAAAACTAGACCTTCTCCGATTTGTAGTGATTCGAGATATTGGCATATTTGAATTTGTAAACAAACTCGTCAATCCCGAACTTTTTGCGAATACATGCTCAATATCGGAATCTAATAGCACAATCAATCGGCTGAGGAATGATTCCTCTATCATTTGGTATAGTTTGTTTACCGGATTGAGATTTTATTCGCGACAAGTCGGCGATTGAAGTATTTGTTTACAAAAGCAATAACGCCTAAATCTCAAATCACTCTGGAATTGTGTGTTAAGGGCAATCATTCGCACTTTTACAAAAAATCGGCCATTTTGGATGTTGTAATTTTGTTCAAAATGACGTCTCTGTCATTTTTCAATAAATTGTAGGAAGAAAGACTTTACTGTTCTAAACAACTTTATCTCAGACGTCCTTTCGATCAGGAGTGATATTTTCGTGCTAAAAAAATGAAAAAATGACAGACGCTATTTTGAAAAAAAAAACAAAATCTAACAGCTGATTTTTTGCAGAAATGTGAATGATTTCCCATAACACACAATTATGCAAAGTTTCATTCAAATCGGAGAAGGGCGAGTCAACATTTTATTTTTTTGGAACTGGTCAAATGTACTTATTTTTTTAGTTTTAATTTTTTTTTTGATTTATTGACGAAAATGTGCTATCTGTTTCAGAGTGTATTTTTTATCTAAAAAGGCAAACCAATTTCCTATAAATTATTCTCAAATGTCATTTTGATTAGATGAGCCATTTTCTGGCTATGATTTATTGAAAAATAGCCAGCCATTTTGAAAAAAATAATATTCCGGCACCTACTTCCCAAGTAATCATAGGCACGTTATGTCATCTTTTTGGCTATACACAGCTGAACAACGGTTATACCAGTGTTTGCAACTTCTGATGAGGCCCATATATAGCCAAAAAGGTGAAATAACGTGGCTATGGTTACTTGGGTTGGTTCATTGCCTCTAGCGAACAATTATGCGAAGTTTCGTGGAATTCTGAGCGGTAAAATCTGAAATTTGATTCGCTATTCGGCCTGGAATGGCTCATTACCAGCGTGGATCAGCTTACCATTCAAGCGCCCATTTCCATACCCAAGCACCCATCCATAGATTCAGATTGGCGCTCAGATTATTCTGCGTAAGCCGGATTCGTTGGGTACATTCAAACAGTGGCATGCCCTGTCGTGGGCATTTCTCACGTGAATCAAATCATAAATGGTACACCAAATGGCCTGCGATAAAATCTTTCGACAAGATTCAGCTAAAGGTATATCTACTTACTAACAGATATGATGTATGGAGCTAATCAACTCAACGGCAAGAATTTGTAGTTTCGAGAGAGGCATTAAATTTCAACCGAAACCGTTTCAGTAGCTTTTCCAGTTACATATTTGCATCATTCAACGAATGTAAACTTAGTGCTAATGTTCTTCGACTCATAAAGCATCAAGCCGCAGTGCGCTAGGAGTTCGTGACTTTTTCACATTCTCGTTAATTTTAACACTTTGTAGCGAGTGTACTTTCTTCAACCGTTGTTGGTTTAAACCACCAAAATGAAAAAAAAAATGGGGCCGATTTACGACCGGAACGATTTTGAGAGAGCCGTACCAATTAGCTACCCTTTTGAACGAATGTGGTACCATCTTTCGATCACTTTCCGTTAACGCTGTATCAGTCGCCTCTTCATCAACCCAAAGATCACACCGTCTCAGCTAGAGGTTCAACCATCCATTAATTTACCTCACACGGCAGCACCCGAAGCTACTTTTAGGTTTTTTTTTTTGGCGTAAAACAGTTGCAATTGATGAGAGCTAATATTTTCGCAAAATTGCTTCTTTAGCGTGAGAGTTAGCAAAAAAGCACTTGATACGTGTTTCAACATGGATGGAAACAGATGTCGGTCGATTGATTTTTTTTACCTCGTCAACTGATATTTGCAAAATATCGCCTAGCATCTTCTTGGGGAAATATTTTCTTCAAAAATGGATCCGAACAAGCGCGCATACAACACAATTTGCTTCTCGATGAGGGAGCGAAATGATCGTGATCGACAGGTGTATCGGTTTGGCACTAGCTAGCTTCTGTGGGGTGGGGTGTTTGTTGCCCGTGCATATTCTAATTCAAACCGATATAGGTAGTCTTGAAATGTTTAAAACGTGTTGTTTATGTTGGATCTGTGTACACTGTTTGTATTATGGATCTAGGTCGTATTTACACGAAAATGGCTTTGTTTTCATCCTAAATTCTAGGTACAGATTTTCATCGTCTCAAACTAGTCAAGCCTTATCGCCGCTAATTCAAATCATTATCATTCGATTTCCATTGCAGCCTCGCAACAAGGAACAGGAACAGGAAGTTCTGGAATGGATCAGCGCAGTGCTGGGTGAGAAACTGCCACCGGGGGCCTACGAGGATGTACTGAAGGACGGCGTTGTCCTGTGCAAGCTGGCCAACAAACTGGCACCGGGTTCGGTGAAGAAGATTCAAGAACGTGGCACAAACTTCCAGCTGATGGAGAACATTCAGCGATTCCAAGCCGCCATCAAGAAGTACGGCGTCCCGGAGGAGGAAATCTTCCAAACTGCAGATCTGTTCGAGCGACGTAACATCCCCCAGGTCACCCTCTGTTTGTATTCGCTTGGACGAATTGTAAGTCCAGATATATCTCTGAACAACCGTATCGATCCCATAACGATCACAATTCCTCTCCCTCTGTTTTAGACCCAAAAACACCAGGAATACACCGGACCAACCCTGGGACCGAAGATGGCGGACAAAAACGAGCGTACCTTCACCGAGGAACAGCTGCGAGCCAACGAGGGTCAGCTGAACCTGCAGATGGGCTTCAACAAGGGCGCTTCCCAGTCCGGCCACGGTGGATTCGGAAACACGCGTCACATGTAAAGCCGACTGCCTACTTCATTCACAATCACAACCACCAGCATCACTCAAGAAATGTATGTCAGAAGTGCTATCTCAATCTCTCCGAAGCAGCGTCGCATGGAGCGCAAACATCATTTCGCAAATCTTCTTAAAGATGTACTTTTAATTTGTAACTATTTTCGTTGTACGAAATCAACGCGCGCGATCCGGCGGCAACAGCAGTTGATGCGCGGGGAGGAAATTCAACGAGAGCTCTCATTTAATCGTTTCGTTCCTCTGCTTTTGCGGCTTTTGCGCGCGCTCTATACTTTTAGGATTATATTTATTTTTCCAAAAAATTAAGAAAAGCATCTCAAATTCTCAACCGAACCGAAGGTTGAAAAACACAGGCCCCAGGCGAGCAGCAGCAAATTTTGCAGTCATTGCTATTAATAGTGCGCGGTCGGAAAACGCCAGAATCTGAACGGACGGACGGACGTTGCCTTTTTGATGGACACCCACGCAGCGTTTTGTATGTACAAGCCAAGAACCAACAAAAAAAAAAACGAAGGGAAAGTAGAATACATAAATAGGTGTTTTTTTTTGGCATGTGCGTCGATGTCGATGGAAGAATTGCGGTGGATGCAACTGCTGACGTGCCCCGATGTCCGATCGTTAAAAATTTCACTCATGACGTTTGCTGTGTCAGGTCTGCTTTTACTTTCTGTCTTAACTCTTACTATTATGGTCATTATTATTATTATTATTATTATTATTTATTAGCACTCTTTCTATTTGGGAAGCAATAAATCAAGAACTGAATTGTACCGCTGCAGAGAGCTGTTGATTGAAATGGACAAAAGAAAGCTTTTAGGAAAAACAATGAAACACACTGTAGAATGTTATGACACTTCATGACGTATTTTTATGCAATACTTAAGTGAATAACTCCACAGCTTCTAAATGATCATAGTGGCTGACTCATTGTTTGCTGCACTACCTCGAGTATCAGATTCATTGTTGTTTGTTTTGTTGGCGGATTTTCTAACACTTTTTGGATGAAGGAGTTTATGTTTGCCCTCTCAATGGGGGTTGAACTATAACCACATAACACAAGGGGAATTTGAACATCAAATGTTGAAGTTTTTCTTGGACTCATACATGGAAATCGATATGTCAAAGAATGTTTAACAGTTTTAAAACAAACCAGACGAGGGAATAGTCAAAGTTTTTTGGAAATGCTCTGTATTATTAATTTTTACCACAATCTATAATTACCAAATGTATCTTTGGAACTATGATTTTACGTTCAAATAGATACCAGCTATTGATGTTTACAGTACAGAGCGAATGAACATATTGCCGATTTTTGACATAGGATTACATTTTTTGGCAACATATTGGGCGTGCAATTTAAAAAAAAAACCCAAAATCGACCGCATTACGAAAAGAGGTCAGGTTTTGACCACATATAACTCTGTCAATAGCAGATGGATTTTAATTCTAAACAAGTCAAACGATTGGAAATGTATCCAACATTCTGCTTTATTAATTTTCAATAGATCACTATTGAAAATTACACAAATGTACAACTGTTGCAATGGTAATCAAAATTATCATCGATTACTTGCAAAAAGCGATTTCCTTGACACAGATTTAAAAATCTAATTCCATGCGGTTTCACTGAACGGTGTCCGGTCGTCGGTGTCAGCAGCAGCAGTGCTTTCAACAGGTGGCGTTGAACATTGTTCTCCAGTACACAACGAAAGCCAGCCTGCAAGCAGCGAGCTGCGGAGCCCACATAAGGAGAAATAAGCCGCACCGCTATGGATCGGAATCAGTAGCTCTTCGTGAGTCCCTGCGGGTCATCTAAGCCAAGCGCGTCACCCTTGCTGCAAACAACATACAGCTCGCCAGCATCATACATGTTGAACACCCTAATAGCTCAGCATTACTCAACCATCACGACAAAACGGTCCTTTTCAGGACCACCATAAATTTGTTAAAAAGTATTTTTTGGACATTTGTCTAGGTCATGAATTAATCATTTTGTCAAGCTTCTGCATTCATGTTCCATCAGATGTCACTGCAGTTGTTTGCGGTGACATCTGTAGGAAACTACGCATAACCTGTTTTCCGTTAATTGTTCACAGAGGACAGTGCAGTGCAAAATATATCTGGTACCTCTATATGTATACACTTATTTATTTATTTATTTATGTTATGGTCAACATGTAAAATATTCACCCCAATGACAGTATACTTTTTCTAGACAAATTATCATAAAATACTCTAGAAATTGCACTTATTTCTAAAACGGGAAACATTGAAGTCAAATACATTGTAGCACTTATCAAATTAACGACACATCCTCCGCATGGGCTCATTCCATCCGTAGTTGGTTCAGGAAAGCATGCGATCGTAGATTACGGCGGCGGGTATTGATGTCGATACTACTCAGCAGTGTAGAATAATTAACGTTTCCCTGAAGAAGATCACCGACGAAGCTCGCCATTGCTACGTTACGTCTCGCATCCAAAAGTTCTAAGTTGATAAGCATACAACGACTCCCTTAGCTCAGTCGGTAAAGGCGCAGACTACAAAGCAAGACCATGCTGGAGGTGGCTGGGTTTGATTCCCGGTCCGGTCTAGGAATTTGCTCATCCAATTGATCAAGCTTAATAACTTCTGATTGACATCAGCAAATCGCTGTATGAAGGGCCAAAAACGAATGGATGGATTGATCGTCAATTCGCCTATTCATCGCCTTGGGACAGTAAATAATCTCCTTCCAACAACTTGATCAGTTAATTGGTCAGAAAACGAGTCATCCAACAGGAAAATGCCTCAATGAACGGAAAGAAGAGCCCGCCCTTTATCCACGAAATGTTAGCAACAGGGAGTTTACATTTTCACTCTCCCCATCCAAATTGCTTCAATTGGGTGCCCTGGTGGTCCCTCCCCTTCTCAGTATTTATTGGTTCATGTAGTTTTAAATTATTTTTTTTTATATGCAAATGCTATAATTTTATAATTACAGTGACTTACCTAGGATGATGCCCTAATTGATGCTTACCACCGTTGGTTACTTCTTTTGAATTCTCTTGTACTTTTTCTCTACCGCTTCGTATTTCATTCCGTGCTTCACCGGCAATTTCCTTCCGTAGATCGTCCTTGGTCGATTCTGACATGATTTGTTGTATAATGTTCATAATTATTATACAAATTATGATCATGTTCATAGTAGGTCATAAAAGTGTATCCGTGGAATTATCACCAATGGGATAGTGACATCTGCGTGAAAAATAGCCTTGACTAAATAGTTCGATGATGTCAGTTCCCATATGATTAAATCTAACATACAATTTCAAAAAACAAGTGTCGGTCGCAGCATGAAAGTAGTTTGATTTTGATCCAGAAATGATGGATTTTAATTCTTAATACGCCAATCGATAGGAATTTTGTCTATGAATCCGTTAAAATTAAGACTATCAATTAAAAAAAAATTACCGACGCCAGGGAGGCAGCTCCTACACCTGGACCCTACCTATTGAACAGGGGACTAACGGCTTTACTTCCCGTGATCAGAGATGTTATGCCTCAGAACATCCCGGCGGCGCCGACTGGGATTGAACCCAGGCCTGCTGGAGTTAGGGGTAATCACGCTTACCACTACACCACCAGCGCCGCTATCATTTTTCAAAAGGTCACTATTGAAAATTTCACGAATGTGCAACTGTTGCTATGATAAATAAAATTATCACCGATTGCCTGAGAAATGCGATTTCCCTAACACAGATTTCAAAGTTGAATTCCATCCGCTCACCAAACGGTGTTCATTCAGTCCGGTGGTGTTCTCTGGTACACAACGAAAAGATCCCCGTAAGCAGCTAGCTATCAAGGCTGCTCTGAACTGCTGATGCTTGTCGTGAGCCTCTTTGGGCTATCTATTCCAAGCGCGTATCGCCCAGGTTTGGTTTGTACTACATGGAAGCACCTCAAAAGCAGTACTTTCAAATTGCTTCCGAATTTCAACCTATCGATCTTTTTCACTGATAACGAGTTAAGAAATTAATTTAATCCTCTCAGTATCTTCTATAAAAATTGACTTTCAGTCGCTAACCTAAATCGATATTTAATATTTACTAAACATTTGTTGTGACATCAAAACTACCTTTTGTAGCCATACGTCAAATATTACGGTCGTGTCTTGGATGTGCAGGGCTGGTAGCGAGTCACTTTTTAGTGACTTGGTCACTTTTTTCAAGCCAGTCACTAAAAAGTCTCTTTTTTTAAGGTCAAATCATTAAAGTCACTTTTTCTTGTTATCAGTCACTATTTTCAACTTTTTTAGCGTGAATTTATTTCAAGATTGATCATTCTTTGCTTTGTGGCGTTTTATCGTCTTTCTTTATCTACAGGGTGTCTACCCATATTTCTAAATTAATTAATTAATTTAGCTTTATTTAGGAGGCTTTCAGCCTTATATTTCTAATTAAAATTACCTGAGTTTTCCAGGTTTTTCAACACTTTAACGGACTAAATAGGTGTCGAGCGAACTTGAGAAATATAGAAAACATGAGGGGTATTGTGCAAATTTTTAGGAAGTTCTAAGTACCTCAGAAAAGCTATATTTATAGATTTTTCGGGAATTTAAGATCTTAAGAGCAGTTTCCGTAACTTTAGTCCAGACCTTTAGAGCAGTTTGAAGATCTATAATCGGTAAATTTAGAAAAAAAAATCAGGATAGTTCCATGACACGCTGAAAAACAAAAAATCGAGAACCCTTAAGATGTTTCGAGAATTTCAGGGAAGTACAGAGCCCTTCAGAGAATTTATTAAAAAACTTCATAAATATTTCAGAAACTTCACAGAAGTCCATAGAATTTCAGGGAAATTTAAAGGTGTTTACGGGAATTCCATTTATTTCCGAGCAGCAGAACCGAGATCTTCAATAGAATTGAGAGCTTGAGGAAAGCTTCGATAACATCAAGACAGATTAGAGAATCAAAGGGCAGTTCAAATAATTTCAAGGAAATTGTAGAAATCTTAAAG